TCTTAATGCTTTGCATCGGCTGTACCGTGTATACAAATACATTCTTTTTATACTACTACTATAAAACTAGGCCTTTTCTAGATAGAAGCAAGGACTAGGCCTAGACGGGACGATGATGGAATAGAACTGCAGGGATAAGCCCAGTCGGCTGGCGTTCGGACGGACGGTAAACAAGTCTAGGCCTATATAAATTGCCTTTGGGAGATGGAGTTTTTGAGTGTTTTGTAAAAAAAAAAAAAAAAAAAAAAATCCAGGTCGGGGGCTTTTCCGACGGTCGGGCGGGGATGCTAACCAATTGTTTTATTTTACGTAGCCTAATTCATAACTTTAAAGCGCCGAGAGACTTCTTTTGCCTGACCAGCAGATCACCTACAGTACTGTAACTCATCCTTAGTGATGAGTTTAAATCTAGTTTTTAATTAACATCATAATGTAACAAATTTAGCAAACAAACACAACGTACTGTAGCATTTTTATACATACAGTTCTGTCATTTTGTTATGATACACTCTATTTTCAGGCAAACTCTTTTTTTAGGCTTTGTTTTTTATCCATGGTTTAAAACACTGAAATATTAACACAAATTACAATAAAAATAAAATTCATAAAATGAGCAAAAATACAATCACAGTATACAATATATTATATGAACACCAATAAAATAATGATAATTAAGTCATATAAAAATAAGAACAGTGCAAGTGAAGGAATATAATTATAACTTACACTCTGATTTGACGAATTGCACCATATTTTCCAAATATATCATACATTTCTTCAGCCGTAATCTTATATGGTAAGTTTCTCACATACAATATTCTGTTTACCTCTGGTGGCAGACGAACCTAACAACAGAAAGCATCAGTGTTATAAGTTACTGTAGCAAGTAACATCCATACAATGCAGAATTGTAATTTTTTACATTATTGAAAAAAAACTGTAGATTTACAAATAATGGAAAGTTTATTTTGACATTACAATTAATGTCCGTATTGAGCTAATTATTTTAAAATTCAATATTTGAATTGGTTACTTATTAATATAATATATTAATGAAGTATCCATACCTGTACCTGTAAATTGAAAATTAATATCCAAGTTAGTAACCACAGTATATTGTATTCGATTTCACTCTAGCTTTGTTTTAGGTTAATAAAGCATTATAATTGTTATTATTATTAGCACATAAATACTGTAGATTAAATTCTTGTGTAACACGCAGCTCATTGCTATGCTCAAACACTGTTTTACTGATGTAACATTTTTTCACATACATACAAATGTATTTTGGCTTAGCCTAAACAAAGACCACACTGTAAAGTTTTTTTTGTGCGGAGAATATCTCAAAAAAACCAACTCAAATTTCTGCAGAAAATCACTAGGAAAATAAATGCGTGGAATTATAATTACTGCTTATACATCGGTTGTACATTGAGAGATAGGCCAAACCCTAATTTTTTGGTGCAGATAGAATTCTACTGTAGGCCTAATTTTTGCGTGAACGATATATTCCCCATGCAAGCCTTACTTTACAGCCTGGAACATGCCATAGACAAAAGACATCAAGACTTACAAGTTTACCTGCACAGCAATATTTCTCGATCTATGTATGGTTTTAGTAATTAGATAGTGAGAGCCCAATAAATACTTACAACCAAATTCAAGTTTAAGAAGAGCTGTTCTTAGGCCTAGTATTTCAATATACATTTTGTTCTGAAAAATAGGACTATAATTACACTCATTATTATTAATACTTATTAAGTAGTATTTATTCAACATTATTATGGTTATGGTTTATGGTTTTATATTTATATAGCGCCTTCCACGATCGAAACCGTCTCAAGGCGCTTGAAAAATATATGTGAATAATGTACAGGTATGGAAATAAATTTGACCAGAAATAACCTAAACAAACCAAACAGAATAACCGACAAAACAGATAAAAAATAGAATCACACGTCATCACACCATTTCACTGACCGACCAAGGCCGGTCAGCTATTGATTTCACAGGTGTCATAATGATGTGTGTAACTAAATATTGGCCTATCGAGCAACGAAAATGAACGAATGTAAGTGGTCTATAGTGAATTATAAAGGTGAGTTTTCAATCGGCTTTTGAAAATCCCAGTTGAATAATAATAAATAATCGGGCAGGCTGTTCCAAAGCTTAGGAGCAGCAACTGCAAATGCTCGATCACTATAAGTTCTGAGACGACTTTGGGGAACGAATAGCACTGATTTATCAGTTGTTGACCTAAGGGATCTTGTAATTTATTAATGGTAATGGCGAGATATCATTAAATAAAAGAAGTTTGTTTCACACTTAGGGCCTACTAATTGTTAAGTTTCACACTTACTAATTGATAAATTTATCCCTAAAGTTACTGTATAAATATATAGGACTGGGCCTTGATAGATAGGCACGGAAGGCTAGGCCTAGTACTATAGCTATTTAGTAATAGTACTGCACGTACTAGGCCTACTAAGGTCATGCCGCATGCCTCCACTTCTTCATCCACGCCGCGACGGCGGTTAGCCTAGCCTAGCCTTATTAGTATTTATGATTTATCTAAAACTTACTATCGGATCTTATATACGTACTGATATTATAAAAAATGTTTGTTACCATGTTATTGAAATGACAGTATGAAATAAGTTTTAAATTTTGTTAAAAGTCATAAAAATACTCACATTTTGACGACGACCTGCTTGCATAGCCATCTTGACGAATTTAGCGTTTGTCAGTCATTACGTCATCACCATAATAAAGTATACATCCTCTACTACTAATTTCCTGATTAGTACATATTTAATTGTTTTAAATAAATGTCTGCATTTCTAAAGTAAAAACAAAACATACCAAGTACTTTTAACTTAATTTTTAAAGAAAAATTATATTTAAATTGTACAATTTACAGAAATATTCAAAAAATATGAACTTGTGATTTTTCGCAGGGTCAAGTGTTGTTTTTCTACTTACTTACTACGTGTTTATTTTTTCGTGCGTAGCGCCAGCAGCTGATTGTTAGCTGCTGTAGTAAAGAGTAACTCCAAGCTGTTGGTGGTTCTGTCCCCGAGTTTAAGCTGAGAGTGGTGCAACAGCAGTTTGTTGATTTTTGATTGAACTAGCCTAGGCCTAGGTGGTTTCATTATCGAGTATGGATACAAACGGAATGAAAACTCCTCCCAATGATTTGTATGAAGATATCCCAGCAGGAGGTAGGTAAACATTTATTTGGGTGTATTTTTTCATATGCATAGGCCTAGCCTAGTCACTAGTACTTTACTACTACTACTACTACTACTACTACTACTACTACTACTACTACTACTACTACTACTACTAGGCCCTTAGCCTGGCCCTAGGCCAGGCTACTAAAGGCCTAGATGACAGCATTCTACTGCTACTACTACTACAGTACTAGGCCTAGGCCTACTAGATTAGTCTACAGTAGTCTATGCCAAGCAAGCTTGGCCCAACTACTAGCCCTACTTAATTATTATTTATTTATTATTATTATTATTATTATTATTATTATTATTATTATTATTATTATTATTATTTTACATTTATAAACTTAAAGCGCTTTTTCAAAAGGATCAAAGCGCTGTACATATCAAAGTTCAAAATATATATTTATATATACAGAAATCTTAAAACTACCATTAAAAGATACAAAACTACTTAACTTCAATGAATTTAATGTAGAATTAAGTACTACTGTATTAATAATTATACGAGCATGGACCAACCACTCATTATCATGTTTCTGGCCAAAGAAGTTTTTCTGAGCGGTTTGCAGGTTTGCAAATTGATTGTGTCAAAAAATTGATAACCAGAACACTGTGCACACAGTTTACATTATATGCCCTACTCCACCAATGTAATTTTCAACAGTAATGTTGATGAAAGGTTTTTTAGTGACAATGCATTCTACCATCATATACCGTATCTTGTTGAACTTGTCCCATGCTCTATTTCATCATCTCCACTCTGAAAATAAATCTGATTGCCATCCTAAAATTCTGAACAGCTTACGGATGTTTTTCTTCTCCCTCTTCTCTCTGGAATTACCTTCCCCAACTTAATAATTTGACTACATTAAATTCATTGAAAGATAGGCCCTAGATGGATTTTGTTTTACAAATTATCTTCCTTATTTTATATTATTTTTTAAATGCCTGAAAGACACACTTTGTACAAACCTTCATTGCTGTAAAATTATTTTTGATTTAGAGATTCATTTTAACTGATAGTGAAAAGAGTGAAAAAAAGAGAAACCTATTTGAATGTTGTATGTACTGTAAATATAGACTGAAACAACATTCCTCTAATATATTTTTGTCATTTTTAAAATCACTTTTTATAGTAAGTTGTAAATTTTATATGCATACTATACAGTACTACAGCTTCATACTGTACTTGTGTGTAGTTGAAAGAGGCTTGAAAATGTCTTTTCTTGTAACTACAATTTTTAGGGCAAATGCTATGGCACAGGTGGGCAAATTGCGACCCACAGGCCACATGCGGCCTGACAATGATATTTTTGCGGCCTGCGAAAATGAATTAAAACCCCTATCTTTGAATAGAAAACACCATGTTTTTTATGGCCCTACTCCGATCAAAAGTAGTATTAAAACTGAGAATAAAAATGCAGTGCATGAAGGTTTTTGGAAGCACATTGGAAACATCAGCGTTTGGGTGCGGCCCTCAGTGTTAAATAAACACATTTATGTGCTATGGCATGCTCTTCGGATAATATTTTAGTCTACATTAGGCCTCACCAGGGCATGTCCAGTCTGCTGAATTTTGAGTTTAACTTTAGTGGTTGGTAGGTATGTACAGTACTCCAAGGCTTACTTTGTAATTAATTTAAAAAAAACTTTAGTACTGTATTGGTATCTTGATTCACTGATCCCTAGTATTGTAACATAATACTGTATGTTGCTCTATGGATAGACTCAGATCTGATTGTGACAGAAAGAAAAGAAGTTCATTGGTTGTTCGATTACTAGTACAGTACTGTAGCCTAGTTTGTTCTTCTGAGTTGAAGTGTCACAGAGAATTTGAGTCTATATTTAGCTCAACAGTAACCATTTTAGAGATGTTGGGGAAAACAACATTGATGTACCAAGTTAAACAGTCCGTGTTCATAGTGTATAATAATGTGCTTGTTAACTTTGTTCACAAGTATTGTAATGTAAACTTAAATGTACAGTAATGCAAATTAATTATTAATATTGAGCTAAACAAAAAGGGCTACTTGTGTATATAAGAAGCTGATGTTGAAATTGTCAAGTTAATTGTTAATTTTTTTGCCAAGGTATCTACTACACTAATTGTTTAAGTTCAAGTGTTGGGAAAGGTATTATCAAGATAATTTTTGGCCATGAAATCATAAAATAAGACTTGACAGATAAATGGGGGCACCTTACCAAATTTTATATTATAAAACTAAAAACCAAATTTTAATTTATCGAATAAGATATGTAACTAAAAAAGTAGATCTAGAATGTTGAGCCTTTAATTTTAAAGTAAAAGAAAGACCAAATTTATTAATGACTACTTTTTAAATAGTGTGTAATAATGTCTTACTAATCCTACTGTATTCAGGTTTTGAGTCATCACAGATAATAAATAGTCATATCTTAACATTGTTTTCTTATGGACAAAATTATAGTTATAGTTATTGTTACTTTAAATATTTAGATAAATAGAAGTTGCAATTGCAATAACAAAATTTCAAAAATATGATGTAATTTGTAGTATTGGTGACACATACAGAAGTTGTGATAAATGGCTTAATATGTCATTTGCTCAAATGCCTGTGAACTATTTTCCATCCTAATAGTAGTATTTAATGCCCTGCTCGTGACATTTACTGAAGGATATAATTGTGATGTTATGAACAAGGCAGTTTGTTTCCAGCTGTCGGCATTACCATCAAGTCCTTATTTATTAACTGCAATCCCGTTTTACTATACAGAGTAGGCTCGGTCATCATGGATTTCTTCTCCTTTCAAAGTTGGTATCAATTTTTTGAAGTATTCAATCATTGTTTTGCTTTCAATTTTTATATTAAAACTAAGTTATATGATTCGTATCATCTTACATAGTGGCTATACTAGGCAGCATATGTTTATTTTATTAACAAAATAATTATAAAGTCAGCTGTAACAAATTAACAAATAGGTAAAAGCAACAACTAGAGTAGACAGTTTTTCAAAATTGGTACTTTTTGGCAAGTTTACAATACATTTTTTAAATTTTTATAATCAAGTTAATTTGTCATCTGAATGTTTACTGTATATTTTCTTTAATTAAAAATCATTATTTTTGGCAGATTCCTAACAAGGTGTAATAAAAGTCTCACCTTAGACTTACAAAATACATATTTAATCAATTTAATTCATTAAACTCAATACTGACTTTAAATCACTCCAGGCAGTTTCAATACTTTTAAACTTTAGGTCTGACTAAAATTCATACAAAGGTAGGATTGAGTAGAATGTCTGTCAATTGACTAGACTTGCATAACATATTTTATTCATTCCTGCCCTCACAATTATTTTTTCCATCCTTGTTAGAATTCTCAAATTCCATTTGTTAGTACTCTATTTAATGTATGTTTATCTAAATTCAACACAAAAACAGACTTGATGAAGAGAAAACCATGGGCCAGTGTCCCAACGCAAAATATTGGAAAATTTTGCTTACAGAAATTATTTTGTATAGCATTCATCTCCATTTCAAAGTAATAATCAAGGCACTTGTGAAGAAATGACATCGCAGAGAAAGAAGAAAGCTGAAAACAATCCGTATTCATTAACAAAACCATAAAATATCCTTGAAACTAAAAAAAACCAAAAAAAAAAAACCAAACAAACAATTAAAAAGAAAACTGATGATGCAGAGGCGCAAAATTAATCAGCTCCTTTACTAATGCACTTTGAAGCCCCAGTAATTGAACTTTCAACTGACTTTCACAGATGATATACGGCTTGTTTGTGGTTATATTTTTTGTTGCAGAGCCTGGATAAAAAGGAATAGAAGTCATCATAGTTCATACCTCTACATAAAAATCATAAATTGCTGTTTACTATAAACTCAGTTATTTTTAAAATGCAACTCATTGTAAAATGAGTTTTTACTACAGTTTATTTATTTTATCATCAGTGCCTATTCAGGACTATGAAGCTATTATTATTAGACTCCATGGTAAGACCATGGAGGAAATATGGTAAGACTAATTCTGGCTTAGTTTGTTTCTAATCAATGGGGCTGTTGAATGCATCACTGCACATCCATAGCTTCTATAAACTGAATCGCCTTCACAAGAGACATGCAGTATATAGAGGATAGTGGTTAATGTCACGCTTGACTGGTCAACAATATCTTACCGATATTAATGTAGCTTTTACCAATCAATACATTGGTAGAGTTATGAGTAGTGACATATATCTAAAAATAGTAAGTTCAATTTGAATATAAAATTAGTTTGGAAAGAGGGACTTGTATACCTTACTACAGTGTTAGTACATTGAATCTCTTGTTCAAAGGCCACTTCATGTACACACATAGATACAGATTTTGATAATGTGTTTGTAAACATTTAGAAAGATTAATTTAGAAACATTAATTTTATGTCAAGTGATATACAGTACTCTTTTACAATAAATTTCATAACAAATTGCTGTCCGAAAACTACCTTGAGACTGAGCTGGCTCGTAGCATGGCACAAGTCATTGCAGGATTTGAATCCTGAACCATTGTATTAGAAGATCAGCATCTTGACCAAAATTCTTTGGTGATGACCTACTATGAAAGTGTTGTTGCATTGACTACATACAATGACAGACTGTAAAATATGGCCTTCGCATTTTAAAAACTAAGGGCCAATTTTCACGAATATTTTCCAAAATTTAGGCCTTTTTACCTATCTCTTAATATTATATAACCAATGTATATATTACTATTATGCAGTAGTTACGATTCAGCGCACCAATTTTCCTAGCGAATTTAGCATGTTTCTGATGTATCATCTGTGCAATTTAAATACCTTGTATTATATGTATTATTCCTGATGATGCTTCAATAAAAGCGAAACGTTGAATAAAATGGCCTTGTCAATTTTTTGAAATGACGTTCATACTATTTTAAGGTACTTACTATTGATTATGCTTTGTGAAGGGCCCTCTGTGTTTAATGCTGACTATAAAATGGTGGCAGGCTTACCAAACATATTAAACTATGCAAATTAAAGAATAAAGGTATATAACATTTTACAATCAGGACAAAGGCCAGACAATTTAGCAGTTTTCAAGAGCTATACACACAGCATAGATAACTGATTGACAAGCTACAATACAGTATGTACTAACAGTAACCACTGCTCATCTTCGTATTATCAATTGTAAAGTGGGAAATAAAAGATCCAGACCTTGAACTAATGTGGAATATCATTGAAGCAAGCTGAGGGTTTTTTTGTGGTAGTATTTACTAACTGTGATTGATTTCATGGACGGATAACAAACAAAGGAGAGTCTAGCACTCCTGTTTAACAAAACCAGTGGAGACGTGGCATAGTGTTTGATTATCTGTCAGTTAGGTAGATTTTATCTGTAGTTTGTCTTTACATTTGACAGTTTTTGAATTGTTGCAGTGTGATCACATAGTTTGATTCTACTGTGTCTGGATTTTGTAGTTTCTGATGTTGATTCACTGATTTTGAGGAAAAAATGAACTACTGTAGTCTGATGTACCACAGAACACCATCAAAGTGAAAGCTCTATTGGTTCTGAACGCATATAGAAACATTTAACTTCCTGGAATGAAGTACAGAAAGAAGAATGTGATTTTCTTATTCGCAATGCATTTGCGGTGAATCTGATGGAAGACTTAGGTTTGCTATGAAAAAGGCTTGGTCATTGGTATCTTTGAATCTTGCTGTGCTATCAATATAAAATTACTACCCTCACTTTTATCAGGGATCTTCATATGTCTTGAAACACTTTTCAATATTGGAATCTTTAATTTATTGGACTCTAGTTTTCTTATACTAGAATTTTATAAATAGAATTACTAAACGGCACTCGGCAATCTGCTATTGTCTGCAATCATAAAAGAATCAAACACTTGATAATTCCGCAGACGATAAACTACTGTACATGGTGCAAGTATGCAAGAGTTATATCATTTGACATTGTGAAAGCTTATAAAAGTGTGCAGCAAATTTTTGCAAATTCTCAAAACAGTTTTTACAGTTTATGAACCAGTGTGCATTTTAACCACTAGCCTTGTGTTTTGTGATTAGTGATTTGCATATATTCCGGTGAAAACTAACAGGAGTTGTGAAATTTCAGAATTTGTCTCAAATGAGATGGTAGCCAACAACAGTAAAATGCAACTTTAATAGTACAGATTTGATGGTTTTATGTGAAAAGAGTTCTAGAGAGACACGAAGTAGGTATAGTTAATACTAAAGCGTCATCATGTTGAATGGGGAATTGGAAAGTATTGAGGAGGGGTACGGATCAGCAGATGAAAGACCCTCAGATGAGCGCATGCGATCAGCCTCTGCTATCAACTATCAAACGTACCTGCAGATTGTACCCACCGATATTGATGATGAAGATGAGGAAAACATCTTTTTTTGGGGTGAGGAGAATTCTGTAAATTTAATAGTGGAGATTCCAGTGCTTGAATTGACACATATTGGCTTTATTGTAAAAACTATCTAAGTTTCCGTAGTAGGGCCCTACAGGTATAGCATTTAGAAAAACACAGACTCCTACCAGTTCTGTATATGTTCCTGTAGGCCTGGTAGGTATACCAAAGTTATAGTACTATATTATCGTAGCTAGTATCTAATATTATCACATCTTTTAAGTTAGTATCAGAGTGCTGCCTCATCAGTACCTGATCAGACTTTGATCAGACTAAAAGCCTGTTTATATTTGCAACCATAATGATAAAAAGCTAAAAAGCAATTGTTCATATAGAAAATGAAAGAAATAAGAGAAGTTCTTACACTAGTAGAATGAATTGATAACGGTTTATCGTGTACTGTATACGATAACAAAATATTTTCACAATCAATTCAAATGATGTCACAATCATGGAATCATTTTTACTCCTTATTTTATCATTTTTCAATGATAGTGACGTCATTTGAATTGATTTGTGAAATTATTTTTTATTGTATACACGATAAGTTGTTATCGAATTGTCCAAGTGTAAAAACTTATCTATATAAAAAATTGCTTTTCAGCTTATTATCATTCTCGTTCCAAGTATAAACAGACTTTAACACAGCTACAACTACGGTACTAGTACCTTATAAAAAAACGTTATAAAAAGCATGTGCACTCATTTTAACGACTGGCGTTGGTGGTGGTAGTTCGTTGAAACGGAATTAATAGCGACTATTATAGCAGAAATGGAAAAGATTGAATTGTCAATAAATAAATACAACAAATCTGATTTTATTATTAAGAAAAATATACATTATCACTTTGAAAAATGTACGCAATCGGACTTTTTAACGTTATTACTTGGTCGATGATGCAAAGGTCATTGGTAATATCGACTATTCGTAAAACGGACGTTGCTTGGTTTTTACCCGTAATATTACAAAGAAAATCTGAAAACCAGACTAATGAGACTACTTCGATGCTGTTGTTAGCATTGTTGGAGTACGTTGTTGCCAGCCAGAAGATGATATGGTGGTACGATAACGCTGACTTAGATGCCTATGTTACGTAATCGTGTCCTTGTAATCCGAGCCGACTTTACCGTTAAGCAAGTTAATTTACCGTTATTCTAGTAAAGTTAAGTCACTTAACTTTAGTCACTTAAGCTTTTTATCTAGCTATAATTGAGTGGTTCACGTCGAACTTTTAACTAGTTTAAGTGGATGTATATCTAGATAAAAGTTCGACGTGAACCAGGCTTAAGTGGCATAAACATACAATTACCACAATACTGTTGTATACAATAAGAACTTTTTGTCTGATGATCATAAGATTGAATAGAGCATAAAAAAGGGTATAATCAAGAAGCAGTTTGCCTTTGATATTCAGTTCTTATACATATTTCCTGGAATACTAGAAAAATTCTACATGGTAGAACCTAAAATTATTTTATTCTCTGACTCCCCTTCTCTCCTAAAAATACCTTGATATGTCAAAAGAAAAAATCCAAAATTCCGGCTTCAATTTCCAAGCGGTGTTTAAGTTATGACATTTAGAAATTTAGGTACCACGCCATCTTTTTCATGCCAGAAATGGCTCCTTTAAACTTTGTACGGTTTTTACAAAGCTAAGAAAGTATAATACACGATGGCGTGTATTTCAATACTTGGAGTATGTATTATACTTTCTTATCTGAGATTAATCAGTGGACCTTTCGGTTTTTACAAAGCTATTTCTCTGGAAATAACAAAGATAAAAAAGATAAGTTGAAAATTGCTACATAGACTGAAATTTGGCCCCTCTTTCAAAAAATACCATTCAAATTTAGGTAGTCTATTTTATTAGAATGTTATATTCCCCCAAAAAAAGCATTGTGCGAAAATAGATTTTTGCTTTTTTGGAAGGCTGTATTATCACTCTTTAAAATAAGGAAGTAGAAATTAAATATGTGATGAATATACTCATACTACTACTACATAAAGATTTGCAATTTAATTAGAACAATAATGAATGTATGATGGGGTCCCGAACATGGTTTCTCGACCATTGACCCTAAAAATACCCCCTACTTTGACTGATCGGATGACCCTGTTGACACTTAATATTACATTAATTATTAAATTTATACCAGTACACAGATATACATATCAGTGTAAGTAGAAAATTTTAAACTTTGTTCCTTAACTTCTTCAGTGTGAACTGATTTTTTAAAAATAGACAGATATCAGTGTGTTATAGATATCAGGTCAAAGTTAAAATCACAAATAAGTCAGTATTTCTGACTGAACTTTGACCTAATATCCAGAATACATTAAAATCTGTCTATTTTTCTGTCTAATAAAGGAGTCATTCCTGGTATAAAAAAGGGGCGTGGTACCTAAATTTCAAAATGTCAACTTAAAAACCGCTTGGAAATTGGAGCTGTAATTTTGGATTCTTTCTTTTGACGTATCAAGGTATTTTTAGAAATGAAAACCACCAAACAATGGGCTGTGCAGCGCACTCAACCTATTGATTTTTGCCTTTCTTACGTGCCTTTAATATTAAAAATGGTTTTTTTTCTTATGTGTTAGAACAGTCCAAACAAATTGATATGATTTTATAATTGGCATTATAATACTTTTTGTTCTATTGAATTTCTGTATCTCAGAACAATTTAAAAGTGTTCAACATTTTAAAAATTTTCTGAACTAAATTTTCTAGAAGTAGCCAGCCCTTGGCCCCTTATTTTCCCCCATTTTCCCTTGTAGCTTTGTGTGCATTGTGCTATTCTGAAGTTAGTATACAATATGTAGGCCTACTGTATGATATCCAATCATGTTTATTTAGCCCATGGCGACTGGTTATGACTGACTATAAATAGTTGATATCAATACTTCATTTCATTCATTGTTTTGTTATACACATTTTATGTACAACAGTGTACCCTGTCAAATACATAACCCATTCCACAGCATATTTACCCATTAATAACTATTTTATACTTTTGCTATTAACAGTTATGCATAGTAGTAGGAAAGGTCATCGGGGAATATATGCTATGAAATACAATTTCAGGAATCAAATTATGAGTATAATTGTCTTTCACCTTAGACATTACTACCGGTGCCTCTTGAACATCTAATGAATTGAGGCAAATCACTAGTAATTGAATTACACTATTCCTTCAAAGAAATATTAGATTACAGATTTATTGATTAAGTTAAAAGATTCCATTCATGTTTTAAATCTGATCAGAACTAAGGTAGGAATATTTGAATCCAAAGCACTTAATATGAACTATAATGTGCTTATAAATCCTATTTATCAGAAATATCTTCACCACCATTATCATAAAATTTATCATCATCGTTATCATCTTTATTATCATCATAATTTTTTTTTACCCATCATCATCATTCATCAATGATCATCATCTTTATCTTTGAGTCCATATTGTCATCAACATTATTGCCATTGCCATTTTGTTATGATCATCATTAAATATTAATATTTAAGTTGAAAAAATCTTCCATAAACCTTTATAAACATGAAAAAATTAAAAAATTTATGTGGATACTCGGACTGTATTACACTTTGTCTTAATTACAATGTATAAATTATTTACTCAATGTAATATAAAGCTAACAGTAAATATTTCAACAGAGATAAAAACCATCTGTTTTTGGTTTCCTTGATTTACCTTGGTAAATTAGAATTCATACAATGCTAAGCATATTGGAGCTTTTAGTTTAACATTATTTTATGTCAAGCAATCTATGATATTACACAAGAGTGTCTATAGTAAATTGCCATTTATGTCTCATTCAAAATTGAGTGTCTATGAAGCAGCAAGCGATGTTGTAATGATAGTAATATTATTGCTTCTTTTTTATAACACAGGCACAACCGAAAGATGTGCAACAATAACAAAATCAGTATAAACTTAATTCAGTGATTAAATATTAGTAGAACATGAAAAATGTATATATAACAAAAAAAATAAAAAATAAAAAGGGGGTTTACAAAAAGAAAAAAAAAAGAATACTAATACTTCTACTAATAATATAACTAAATAAATAAGTAAATAAGAATATATATACAGTATTTTATATATATATATATGTATATATATACAAAATATGATTGTCAGGATCAGCGACATATAGTGCTCAATGCGAATGCAGAGCGTAATAGTAATAGAAAGGTTATGTTGAGCGTAAATTTACTCTCTGTTTCATGCAATATCTTCAGGAGTGAGTGGATAGGAAGATAAT